TATTGTGCAATTAGAACTAAGATTAATAGCCTAAAAATAAAAATATTACTTCTAATAAACGCAAGTCCAGAAATCCAAGTCTAGAAGAAGGGAAAAAGAGCGGTATGGCGTGTAGAAATAGTTGCAGGCTTTTTCGAGGAAGATCGCCGCCAAACATCTGTCAGATTGTCAGTAAAGCCATGGTGTTGACGATGCTAGAATTGGATCCAAAATCTCGGTCTGAACAATGTGTAGCTAATAAAATTGCTACTTTTTCGTAAAAGTTACAAATTGATTGGCTATAAATTTCTCGGACCGAGTGGAACTTGGAAATGTCGATGGACGTTTTTAATTCCGTCTCGTATCTTATCGACACTGACCGAGTTCGCCAGCGGCTTTAGGATCCCCTTAACGCATACAAACGTGCACTAATCCGCCCGATTCTTATTAACGATGTCGGCATACGTTATTCGATACTTTTCATTCAGCTTTACTTTACTTTTTCATTTTTCGCTCAGGTGTCGTCCTTCAAACTGCCCACTGATGTTCATTTTGCACGTACGCGCTAAGATGATTTTAATAGGTAAACAAACAAGAAACGGCTTTGAAATAAATGAGCGGAAGACATCGAAAATCGCCGAGAATTTCAAGCGGAGACCCGCGTGTTTTCTACAGCTCTCGCGATCATAATTTCGACGTATTATATAAGAATATAAATTGCAAATGGCGTGCGCGTGTTGCCCGTTAAAGGTCATCTATCCGCTAAATCAAGTTTGCGAATTCATGAATGGTACTGCATACGCGCCATGGCGACGCGTCGTTACCTCATCGCGCGTAACGCACGTGCGTCACGCACGCCAAACATTTACGCGTGGCACTCGGTGGACGGTCGCACGTTTTCTCAAGCTTACCGTCACTTTTTTTCACGATTAATTGGAAGCGGTATGCAAATGAAACTTAAATCCAGTAAATTCCTAATGCAAATACTCATTTTTATTGTAAACAAAGGATTCGCAGTTCCATGTCAGTTCGAGTAACGAGACGCCGAAAGTACTACGCAAAAATATGTTGAAGAAATTAGAACGTGTAATTACAAAGATTTAAATACATAGAAATTTGGAATTAATTTTCGTTAATAAATCAGAAGTTAAAAATTGTTTTAATTAAAAATCAATTATATCCAACCTTGGATTATAATTTAAACTAATTATTTTAATTTTATAAAATACCGTTAAACAGTTTTACGTTCAATTGATTATATTTCAATAGAGACTAGAGTATGCGATTTTACTAAATATATCCGCTGAATTTGAAATTTGTGGCTACTTTTCTTTAATAAAGAAGGGATCTCGAAATTGTTACAATTTATATTCAATTATATCCAATCTTGGACCGTAATTTACTGAACAAGTCGAATTGTTTCAAATTTAATTTATTATATCTAACACTTTCGAGATAAGTATGCTGACCTTTCAATAGAAAACAATAGCTACACTAATTTCATAAAGAACTTCAACATATCGTGACTTACAATTACTCGACGTAGACGTTAAACTCGACCGCGCGTCAAGGTCTTTGTTTACGCGCGCCGCGGTTACGCGATAAATACGATTCCCGAGGAATGGCGCGCCCTGACGGATCGAGAGCGGCACGGTTGTACCCCTCGTGCAAGTCTCTTCTTTCCCTTTCTCGAGAAGCTTTCGAACGATCGATCGATCGTACGCTCGGCTGGGGGCCCAGAGGAAGAGGAGCAAGAGGAACGCGCGCGCGCGCGCGCGCCATGTTCTGGGAGAGGGAGGACCCACGCCGCCGGTCGGCGAACGTAAGCGATATATGAAGGCGAAACTCGCGCACGTCGCCCAGAAACTTTCTCACGTGGTGTGCACCACTCGCGAATAGCGTCGGAAGTGCGGTCCATCGCTCCTCGTGTTCTCCGGCATCCCGGGGTCTTCTTCAAATTTCCCTCTCCACGTCGTACGCGTTAAACGCACCGCTGTTGAGGGCCGGTGAAAAGGTACGCGCGAGGAGGTTCCCGCCTGAAGGCTGTCGAGACCGAGTCGGCCCGACTTCGTCGTGGAAATCGTCGATCTTCTCAGAAAGTTCGGGGGTGGTTCGAAGTAGTGAACCGGAAGTGGTGGAAGAGCGATCAGGGTGATCATGAGCAAACCGTGGAAAGGTACGTGGCATGAAATCGAATATTGGATATCAAGGTGGAGGCTGAAGGGAGCTCCAAGGTGTGTTAACATGCCGGTGATTAAATGTTCTTGTTAAATGTTACTTGTATCACAAGGGATTACATCGGAGATGTCATATCGGGAACGAAAAGTATATGCTAGATTGACTTGATTAATCGCACTTGTCATATCGCGATTAGATTTGAATATTTAATTTTATCGCACTGTACAGTCCGATTCCCAAAGATTTACCTCGCATGCATTTTGATTCCTACACCAGAATTCCTTTAGGATTTACCAGAATTCCTGTAATCCTACAGAAATTCTGGTAAATCCTAAAGGAATTCTGGTAAATCCTAAAGGAATTATCTGATTCGTCCATATTCAACCAGAAATTTTTTTCAGTGTAGGAAATGTATGCGATTAAATCTAATGAAGGACAGGTAGTTGCTAAGTGGATTAGTTAGATAATCGAGAACTGTTTGCAACACACACATTAATAAAACTTTTCTAAGCTGGATTTGTGAAACGCGAATAAAATGCTATAACTTAAGCGCCCGCGCTTCTCTACAAAATTATTGTTATCAATTATTATTAGCAATAAATTCACGAATGGGGTTCGAGTCTCTTGAGCGCGCCTTAAAAACGCGGAAAAATCTAGGCACGAAAAATCTTTTTGTTAACCAAAACTTCAAGTTTCCCTCGACGCAGCTGGCATTATTTTATTAATCTTAAATAACATACAACGTTTCGACCGTACGAATTGCGGTCCTCTTCAAGCACAAATAATAAATGTATCCAATATACCGTATTATATTGATTTCAGTGTGTCTCACAATCAGTATATATTACACTACAAAACATTGAACAACTTGAACTCCATTACAATAGTAAACTAAATGTCCAATCAATTTAATATGGGTGGTATTAGTCAATCCATTTACGCAACAATTATAAAGATCCTGAGCGCATAAGTGTAAAACGTGTTGGCAGGCACCTAAGGCAAGGGTGTCCGTTGAACTGTTTTTTTTTTATGAAATTGATTGACTAATACCACCCATATTAAATCGATTGGACATTTAGTTTACTATTGTAATGGAGTTCAAGTTGTTCAATGTTTTGTACTGCAATATGTACTGAGACACACTGAAATCAATCTAATACGGTATATTGGATATATGTATTATTTGTGCCTGAAGAGGACCGCAATCCGTACGGTCGAAACGTTGTGTATTATTTAAGATTAATAAAATAATGCCAGCTGCGTCGAGGGAAAATCGAAGTTCTGGTTATTTTATTACTGGCGAGCAAAAGTATTAAGTTTGTCTTTTTGTTAACTCTACGGTTGGATTTTTATCTCGACCGTAACGTATAAAAAAAAAGAGGAAGTAGCCGATCAATGAGATAATGTTACGTGCAAGAACGAGATTCAAGGTTCGTCATGACGATGCATGTAAACTTAAGATATGTGTCGTTTGTTGGCTAGATAGCAAATTACACAGGCGAACCGCGTGCGATTCAAACCACAACCGATTGTACAAAACGTCGCGAAACAATCACTTTTGTCCTTCGTAATCTTTTCCTCTTTTAACTTAAACTCCATTTTTTTAGTAACATTTAGTCGATTTTGTTCACGACTGTAGTTTTCCAAACACTTTAAGTGTTCGACGTGACAGGTCGTGAAAATGATTTGAAAGAGACAAGGTATTTTGTTTTAAACTCTTATAAACTGAAGAGTGCTATAAACTTCTACGTCTTTACATCTTCAAAAAATGAGATAGTTATTATCAGACGAATGGGATAAAAAAATTTTTTAAATCAAATATCAAAAATGTATATATTGAAATATTAAATATGCAGTAAATAAAAAAAATATGCTAGTTGTGTCGGATATGAATTAAAATATAAGTATTCTATAAATCAATTAAAATATAATATTCTATAAATCAATAAATCAATGGACACTTAAAAACTCGTTTACGGAATTATCACTCGCGATCGAATATCGTTTCGCAATGGTCGGCCTACTTAAAAGTAGTCCGACATTTCTAGATATTTCGGGAAATTCCTTGCGATAATGTATCGAACATGTCTCAACTTTCTTCTTCAATTCATATCCGACAAATAACTTCGGACATGCTATCGCGGGCGCCTTTTAATCGAGCCTTTTAATCATAATTGTGTAATCCACTCCGCTGCACCCTAACAGGCGATCGGACACGTGTTTCTTTGTGTTTGATATCTTGGTAAAGACGTGATAAGAGTTTACCAGTTTCTTTTCTACATTCGTTCGTCAGCCCTTAGCCCATTTTTATTAGAGTTCACTTAAGCCGCAAGTTGGACTTACATAAAATTATGAACCAGTATTCTGAATAAAGAAATTACATCTACGAAGGCTGCGATTACCGAACTAGATTGCGATTTGATAAAAAGAATATAAATAAATTTACAGTGAACATAATTGGTTTAATAGACTGTACGTTATAGTCTAAATTAATAAACCGCAAGTAAATTATTGTCTTATGTAATAGAAACAATACAGTTGCGACCTAACTTAATAATCCAGAAGCTTTTTTATTACGGTGCAATCTAGATAGATCCGCTTTAATTGCGCCTCTTAATTTCGTCCCTTCTTATTTCTCTTTCGCTCACCATAAATGTGCAGAAAGCGCAAGAAACGTGCGTTGTGAAATTGGACGAAAGTTAATTTTCTTAAACAAGTAGATTATACCGCCATTGCGAAAATTGAAGTTACGAAAGTTAGACGCAGATTAATTTCTTCGAGTTGTTCGGGAAATGGATCGGATCGCAGCTAGAGCTGTTCGACTTTCGGATTTTCTTTCGCAGGCATGAAGGAGTTCGTCGGTCTGGAGGAGGTCACCAAGCTCGACTACCTGGTGATGCTGTTCGCCGAGATTCTGGGCACGTTTCTCCTGGTCTTCATAGGCTGCGCTTCCTGTATCCCTAATAACGCAAATATACCGGCTGTCCTGCACATCGCGTTCACCTTCGGCCTCGCGGTGGCAAGTTTGGCGCAGGTGAGTCATTTTTGTCATCAGCGCGAAAGCGAACGATTCCACATAGAAAGATAATTAATACTAAATTGTAAATGTAAACACGAAAAGTACAAGACGGATTCTAAACTAAATATTCCTAAATCTGAACCGAGAAGTTACAAATTTAGAAATTCCATAAATTCAAATTTCATCCGTAATTCAATGAAGCTATAATTCGATATCATATTCGAATAGAATATAAATCTGATTTTGTTTCTCGTTTTAATCGCAATATGATGGATAACACAGTTGCCACGAAAAATTATTTGTAATAGATAGATCTGCGAATACATTCCAGTAATAATTGAAACGGATTTGCTAAAAATATTTTCGTGCACTGTAAAGAATTACGAGGTCTCCTCATTTCACCTTGTTAGAGTATTTTGTCTGAGTATCAAAACGGATGATTCTTACATGAAAGATCATTACATAATTGTGATAGGAATATGTAAGCGCTCTGACTGAGATTTACTCCCCCAGTATATTTCATTATGTTCTACACGAATTCTTATCTTGACTCGTAAAGAGCGTATACGTACGCGAGTACTCGGCTTTCCTTGAGTTCGCTTCCTCGAATATTTTCTTCTTTTTACTTCTCGATTTACACAAATACACGATTTAACATTTATTCCTAATCGATTAATAATTAATTTAATAATTTACGCACATAAACTTTTTGCAACACCAATTGTGTCACGTTTGACAACTAAACGACATCGGAAATTAAATATATAATGTCAAATTTCGAAAATCATTGCACGTTCTACGTATAATATACAGAATACGCACTTTAAATAAAATTATACTTTGAAGAAGTAATTGTCGACTAATAGCTACTGTCTTACGCAATGATATACGAGGCAAAAACATTTTCCATTAGTTACAATCTGAACGTTTCCATTTAATCAGAGTCATAGAAACGTAATTCGCGATCTTTTTCCCATCTGGGAAGTATTAAATCAGGCAATGCAACGTAGTATCGCAAAAGAAAAAAAGCGAGCGGAACTCCGTGCGTACGGAGGGAGATTCTGAAAAAAGGATTAGTATTATATTTCTCTGTGACGACATTTTAATCGGAAATTTGCATTTAACTGAGACGCGCGTATAAAAAAACAAGCTCATATCATCACCTCGCCTTACGACACGATTAGTAATTAATCAACATGCCTCGTGTTTTAACCTTTTCTTTTTCCGTAAAGCACCATTCGAATATTCGCAGAATGGTATAGACGTGCTTCTTAAAAAGAATTGTGCGCGGAACGTCTGTAAAAATATATGTGAATTCTGGGGAAAAATGATAAACGTGCCTTTTATATTTTAAATAAATGTATTTTAATGAATGCAGTGACTCGCCCCTTTATCACTATGTCATAAAATTTGTTCAGAACTGATTATTCATGAAATTGCCAGTATTTCAACTCATATCTCAATATCTAAATTGTATAATATTTCAATACGTATGTTATTTTTGACACGCTATATTTGAGCACCCAAAACAGAGACTCCATTCACCTCGACTAAATTCTACGATCTGTCTAGTCATTCTTATACCCTCGTTACATGAATTGATTTCTAGATTAAGGCCCGGTTTCACCACGTCGCTTAACTTTAATCTTGGTTTAATTCACGTTTGTCTCTTTCTGAAGTAACAGTTGGACGGAGACAAAGAATGAATTAAGTTAAGCTTAACGTTAAACAACGTTGGTGAAACCGGACCTAAGAGGTGCGACACGCCACATTTTGTGTGATATCTTTCTTTTATTAATATATATATACTTTAAGACATACTTTAAATAACATTTAAATAAAATATTGTGCGGAAAAGGAAACGGACAAATATTACATTGTACGTTGATATTGTTCGATCGAGAAGTTTCTTTATAAAAGAATCGAGGACAATATATTTCAGTTATTCTTGCGTTAATCTGCTTATGTAAAGCGTGAAGTGTGCGATCCCAATTGAAATCGCAACGGTTTAAAGAGGAAAGAAGATAAGATAGCCCCCGGTAGAGACCGAGGTAATCTTTAATCGCGTTTCGATCGAGATAGAAGACCGCGTCTGGTACCGCTCATCCGCCACGCGGTATCTCATACGATTCTCGCGGATGATTAATTCTTATCGGTAGCGATCGCCTGAAATGCCTCGTTACGAAACCGCAAAATCGCCATTCGAGATCCATATCCTTCTATAATTGCAATTTTCTACATTTTATGCGTTAGGTGTTTTGTCGATCTCGTCAATCGGTCTAGTCTTTCAATTATTTTATTCTTCCTACGTACACGGAGAGAATTTTCTTTTAAAATGTACCCTGAAAATTGTGTGATCGTGGGACAGCGTGGCATTTTCAAGAACTTGATGAGAGTTTTTTGAAATTTTACCACATATTTTACTAATAAACTGTGTACTAACAATAAGTATAATTACTGGTAAAAAGTATGGTAAAGTTTCAAGAAACTCTCGTAAAATTCTCCAAAATGCCACGTAGTCTCACAATTACAGAGAACAATTTTCATCGGATAAACCAATTAAATAGTATTTTCGATGGTTAATTTTTCCGATTAAATTATGAATTCATTCCATTTATCCGATGAAATTTTATTGAAAACCCCATCACATTTTTCATCGGATATACAATTTAATTTGGATATATCCGTTTGTTATTGTGTAATTGGATTATCCAATTATATTTGTTGTTGTTGTTGTTGTTGTTGTTATTGATTGCTAAGTGAATGTACAGAGTACAGAGAAATATGATACAGAATAGCGCAAAAGGTGAAGCACCAACCTTAGTTGCTTAAATGCCTACCCGAAAGTAAAAGTAGAGACAAAAGAAAACCGGGAATTGTCATGACGCAAGACTACAAATGAAACTAAATTAATGAAAGTAATTTAATCGGACATTTTTCTCAGTCTACATATCTTGCACGAGTCAAGAGGAAAAAAGATGAAGAAAAATGTAGGAAAATGTGGAGCAGTATGCAATACAAAAAAGATAAGAAGAAATTAATAATTAAGTGTTATAATAAAAGAATTTTGAATGAATAATAGTATATCACAGCTGAAATAGAACTGCACCTTGGAAAAAGATTTAGTTAAAACAGCGTGATACGTTGAAACTTGTACTAAAGCATTTGCTAGATTTGAAGAAACAGATATGAATTCCCTTGGAAATTGCAGTCTCAATCAAATAAAATTGTGGTGAAGGTAAAGAAATCATTGAAATTAAATAAGAGTCTAGTAAGGTGAAAATTCAAACTAATTTTTTCTAGGTGTACAATCGAGATCTAGCACTTTCTTTCTACCTTTACGCTTTAGATAGATGAAAGTGCTTCAGAAGATTATAGATATTTAGAGAATTATGAGTGAAAATGAGGTCGGATCCTTAGAAGCATCCAGAGGCAAATTTTCGCAACAGGTTTCTCACGCGCAAATTCCGCGCACGTCTACTACGAGTGCACTCCCGATACGCGATCGCACGGGCAAGAACGGATCGTCGTCCATTGAGACGGATTAATAGACGAGTAGGGACGGGGGAAGGGAATCACACATCCTTAAATCGCGGCTTATATCCTTTCGAATTCGCGGGACTGACCTCGTCCTCGAAACAGTTATAGCGCGCCGCTCTGTCGACACGCGAACTTTCGGCGAGCGGCTGATTTGTGAAGAGCACTCGTGCGGCCTCCTTTGTATCAATCAGAATCCACGCGACGCGATTACGAGGAGATGAATGGTCACCTCGTTAACTCGCCCGAATATTCTCGTTGACGACCGGGCGTGGGAAGCCTGGGATAAATCGCCGCCCCGGCTCGAGTTTCGTTCGTGGACATAGCGAAAACGAAAGTGAAAGAACAACATGGTCGTTGTAATTAGCACGGGCATTAATAAACATCATCGCTACAATATTATCTCGGTAAATTGACGGTGTCTTTTCCCCCGAGAAGAGTTAAACGAGCTGGTCCCTCCCATACAAAAGAAAATTAAAACTAATAAAGTGATTTCAAGTAATTAATAATATCAGCAAATTTCTCACGGATACACTCGATATCATTTAATCGCGGCGATTTATCGCGCCGATTGACGCAAATAAAAATCTCGCCGTTTCGAGACCAGAGTCTTCCCGAGTGTCTCACGTACGTCCGATGGCCCGTCGTGCCGCGATCATTTTTCCCCCTCGCTCGATCTGTTTCCCCGCTGTCGATCGGTCTCTCGTAATAGGATCGTGAACTTCGATTTAGCTGCGGCGACGTTTTAATTGACGCACATGTGTGGGCCGCCCGGGCCGCCCGCGTGGTGGTAGGGTAAATAAGGCCGTCGGGTCGCCCAAGGGGGTCTAACTCTGTCCGGAGATGGTGCAATTGTGCCCCGCGGGCTTCTGACAACCTACTCGAGAGATCCGGTGAGTTGGAGCTCGAGAGACTAGCGCTCGCTATTATTCCGCTTGTGTGCGTCGCCCTTTTGATACTTCACTTTCCGACAGCTCGCGGCAAGGATATGACCGTCCACGGTGCTCTAAAATTTTTTCATCTCCTCTCCGTGGGAAAGAGAGGATTGGGAGGGAGAGACAGATAACGAGAGTCGAACTGGATTTTTCATTGAGGCTGACGATTGAAGGACGATAGGGGTTTAAAAAGAATATACTCTCTTGAAATCCGAAGAGATTGATCTCTCGCAAAGTGAAAATTTGACGAGATTAGATTTAACTTTTTCGGGAAATGTGTTTAGCTTGTAAAATCGCCATCTGAGTTATTTCGTTGGTTTTCTCGTTAGAAAAGAACCTGCTTGTTAGAACTTTTAGGATCTTTAAGAATTAACTGTTTACTCCTAGCGAAGTACAAATAAGCTCGCGCTGAGAGCAGTCTTGCCGAAATCCGTACTTCTCGATCTTAAAAAGGGCATCCATTGTAGGACTCTGGATGTAAAAGTATAAGGGAATAGAGATCTCAAGTGTATTAAAGAAGATGAAGTATAGGACAGTCTCAGC